GTGCATTGCTAATGTTGTTCGTTCGACAGATACCATTCTGACATGCAATGAAATCTAAACAAGTTGTCCTTCGTCGACGTGAGCAAAGGAAATCACGTGACCACGCTGTGCATCCGATGGGAACGTTCACTGCACAGTGCAAACGGAACTACATCACTCAATCCAGCCTGCTGTTCGGTGATAACAGCCAAGAAGTTATACAGGGTTGGAGCTTCGCTCAAAATGTGCTCAAAGATACGTCGATGAATGCGATAAGCACACGTTCACGACGCACGTTCTCTCCTGCCGTCACGCATGTTGGGCAAAAAAGCACTATCGAGTTCTTGTCCGCGGCTCGTCGATAACTTCTTGAATTCTCCATGTTTATTTGGCAAAGTGTATTTTTGTTACTGTAAAGCAAGCGGCGCACAGGATTATTGATTGCGATAGATAGTTTGACGTTCTGAAGCTCGAAGGATAGATACAGTGTGGGGACTGCTTGCCCTCAGTTACTGAAGTGTCAACAACGTTGCCCATTATTACCTCACGAGATGCAAATACAAGAGCAGTCCTAGGGCGCCTGGGATTTATAGGACACGGGGATTCATCATCCACAGCTCCAACTCGCCGAAACACTAAGTGTAGTCAACAAATGACTGTAGCTTCCGTGCAGTCCGAGGGGGAAACTTGAAAGCAACTAGCTTATCGCCGAACGTCCGCGATATGTTTGCCACCCCAGTTTTCAGTGCTGTGAAATTTGAATTATCAACCAATTTCTGGGCGAGGCATGAAGTTACAAACCATCTGAGACAACGACCACTACGTCACCGGCTCTGGCAACTTCTAAACGCATCATCTCCTTTTCTTCCAATATTTTTGTGTCGCTTTGAGAGAGTTCATCAGGCGTCGGTGGTGTGTACTTCGCGTTCACCTCGATCTGATGCTCTTCGATTGCAGATAAAAACGAGAGGAAAGCTTCGATGATCCGTGGTATGTCCCTTTGAACCACACCATACCGATCTTCGCTCAGGGAAGTACAGACGAAGTGCGATAGCGCTGTTGCCGAATTCAATAGCTGCATATAAAGTATGGAAGTCGGCCGCACCTTCAATAATGAGTGCATCCAGCTCCCTGTTTGGCAGGCAAACTTCAACGGCCTTATTCAAGCGCTCTCGATAAAACCATTTATTCCATCTCATCGCCGACTCCTTCAACCAGACTGGACAATAGCCCACAACAAGACCCCTACTGTGCGATTCCACCTGTGCAATGAAGCTTGATATAATACTCGATGCAGGTTTGGCCACAACAGCATTGGCTGATGGGGCAGCCGCAGATGACGGCGCTACAGACCGGAAGAGTTCTGGAATGTGCATTTGACTGGCCCGTCCCTCCATTTCGCCTGCCACTGCATCAGCAGCCTTCGAGAGCTCCGAATCTGACGAAACCGAATCCAGCATACTGCTAAGAGGAGATTGTCGTGGAGCCTTGAATATAGCCTTTCGAATCAGAGGGGTCGATGGCGGATCCTTGGGTTTTGGAATTGTCGGCGCTACAACGACAGGAGGAGTGATCGGTGCGCCGCGTCGCAGGAATGTTTGATAATCCTGTCCAAGACGGAGGAGCGATTGGCGGGCCACGACATTCCACAAGCTCGGGCTATATTTTTGGTCACCAAATAGGGCTATTCTACGTGCGTTCCCTGCCGAGGATTCGTCTGAAGCCAGCTCTGCTAACTCAGAATATGCGAAATGTGCGAACACCGCGTCTTGAGTCGTAATCCCCGAGACAACTGTCACATTGGGATCCGCAGTAAGGTTACCAACTTTGATCGGCTGAAAAAGACCTCAGAATGCAGATTTGCCGTTACAAAAGGATAACTACCTGGGGAACATATGCGTCAAATAGCGACTCCGCGAACTCCCAACTCATCAGAGTCACCAGGCCCATCATAAATGAACGAACCAAAAGCGACCAGTGTAATATAGGTAGAGTTAGAGTCCATGTACCCTTTGCATAATGTGCAACAAACGGTCGGATGATGTTGCTTACCGCTGGAAGCTTTAAGAGCAGCGGAAGGACAAGCATCCGCGATAGACCAAAAGCGACGCTATATATCATCAATGAAAATGAGGTGAAGAGAGCCATTGTTAAGACCAGCTTCAGAAGATTGCTTGTGGCATATGGCTACGGGTGGATCGTCAAACATGGTCCAGAAGGGAAGAAAAACACTCACAAGTTCTGACGAATTCAAAGGTTTCGCCCACTTGAACATAAAGCGGTCTAACATGATGTTTCGAAGCAGGAAACTAGCGGCTAACCACAACTGGGCCAGGATGAGGAAGAGCAGTCGACCATTGAGGTAATACGGATGTTTCCTGGTAAAAATCTCAGCCTCCAAAATTCAACAATACTCGAGATGAGATCGTGCACGCGCAACTCTCTTTCGAGCACATCCAGTAAGATTGCTAAATCACATACCTTGACTTTACGAAGACATTCAAACGAAGGGCTTCACGTTCTTCTGATGTAAATGAGCTCATATAGAGCGCAAAAAGCATCAATGTACATGACATGTACACTGCCAAGCACCGTCGTGTGCTTGGTTTTGCAATAGCATTCGTGAGCATTTTGGCTGGTGAAGTTGCAGGTGTGGCGGCAGCTATGCAACAGATATAAGACAGCATCCACACGAGGTGAAGTAACTCACAAGTAAGGTAAACCTTTCTCATAGCAATCACAGGCAACACGCCAACGAACCACTTGAGGCACGCTATCGTCCAGGTTCCAGGTGAAAGCAACCTGGTGAAAGCACTCGTCTCATCCTCTCCCCCCAAAAGAATGCTGACAACTAAGGTAAATGCAACAGAGAACACGAATATATTGTGGGTGAGTCGCTGTCGAAGGGCGGACCTAACAAGGGGCTCGTAAGTTTGAGAAGCAGATGGCACAGTCGGGGACAAGCGTGCAGTCAATGTGGATGTTATTGCTCGTGTTCGCAAAGTTTCTCCCATTCCCGCAGACATCGTAGCCTTGAACTATTCCAGTTTCTGAGTATCTGTCGCCACAGTAAAAGGATAGGCGACGGTAAAGTTCTTGGTGAAACTTTGATGGAAAGAGACAAATGAAGTTGACGTTTGAAGCGCCTGGTGATGCGTAGGGTTAGGGTCCCCAGCTGGACTCGAACTTTGCAATTCCAATACATAAACAATTACTGTACAATTGAATGCTGCAGAGAAGAACGCGATAAAGTTGATAACGCGTAACCAATAGTATATTTACTGGTGAATCACTTATGACCAAATTTTCACATGTAGGACGTGGCACGTTCGTTTAACACGAACAACGTGCATAGTCAAAACTCAGTAGTAGGCGCTCTTGGGTCTTATTACTAGTGGTACTGTCGCTGTCAGAAAGCTGTACATGGCACTGTGTGTCCCTTCAGGCCTTCAGGTTGGTGTGGCAGACTCTAGGGTGATGCGGCCCCGAGTCCGTCCGTGTGACAGCGAATGACTGCATTTTGTATTGACGAAAATGGCTTTTTCAGGCTGCGAAGTTTTTGCCAGGGCTTGGCACCATATCGGTAAACGTGCCATAAACTGCCATTATTAGGCTCTTTAAAATTACAACTCGATGAGCGGGACGTTGGTTCCTTCTCTCGCCCCTTCACGTCCGTGCCATGTTCGACGTGTCCATCGAGGATGCGATACCCCCTGCGTTTTTGTACTCACTTCTGGCGCTGATAGTGGCTTATCACATTTTTGCACCATTATGTTCCACCGTGAAACAACAATCATGGATATTGACGACAATCAGTAGCGCTGCGATGTCTCTGTCGAGTTTACCTCTTTTCTTTCTCTACGCCAGTTCTCGTGGAGATTTAAGAGGGATAAGGTCAACACCCTGGACGGAGAGCACCGGTCGATTCTTTCAAGCTTATCTTGTCACGTAGGTCCGAGTTTCCGCTTTTGAAACGTGTGCGCTCATATGTATTTATAGAGACCTATTGATGGGTGTGATTTACTACCGTAGCAAGGTTAACTTGCTAACAGGCTGGATTCACCACACGATATACATTTTCATCGTCGAGTATGCCTGTCGTCAGGGCTGGAGTCATCTGTTTGCGCTGTGTGCTGTGATGGAGGTGAAACTCCAATTCTTATGGCTCACAAGAGCGCTAACTTAATACAGATACCTACCTTCCTCCTCGCCATTGCGAGTCTCAACCCTCGCTTCCGCTCGGACGTGGTTTTCGCAATGTCATTTCTTGCGACTCGTATTATTCTGCATGTATTTCTATGTGTATCGATGGTCGCCAGCCGGCACGATGTCTCGAATGATTCGTATGGCCCAGGCCTGATTATGGCTTGCATATTTCCTCTTCACGCATTCTGGTTTTACGGGTCCCTGAAGGGGTTCGTCAAGCGCGCCAAATCCCCAAAGCCTCAGCCCGTCAGCCAAGGAACTGTCACGGCATCAGGTCAGTATCGCCGCTTGTACTTCAAATATAGTCACTGAGCCCTAGCGCTACCCTTGCTTAGGCTTTACTTCCTTGCGTGCAAGGTCTTGGATGCTGCCACGCCGCCGTGGCTCGCTTAGGCAGGCAGTTCGTGCTTGGGACAGGCTTGAACTCAGAAAGGCAGCTGGACGTTTCGGGGATGTCCAGCGCCGTCTGAGGGCTTCAATACCTGCGGCGCGCGAGCAAGTGTATGCTTATGTTGGATTAGAGAGGCCCCCGAGTGGAGAGCCGCAGCAGACTGGTGCTAAGACTGAATTCTCTTTCTGATATAAAGACATTTTACCAGGTGTAGTCTTTTTCTTCCTTTATACCTCGATGGTTTATGTGGGATAACTTTATGCTAAACAATCCTATACCCATACCCCTGTAATAACAGTATACCAGGCCAGTAACGGCCTCTACCCTTTATCCATGATGTTTTAGATGCTACCACTGTCTTATGTACTCATGCATTCCACTGGACATTTTCCCTGAACATCTCGAAGTCTGTCCATCCAGACATGGCCGCCTGGCGAAATGGCATCGCGTCTGACTACGATGACACGGCGATCAGGAGATTGCAGGTTCGACCCCTGCGGTGGTCATTTTTGGCGCTTATTCTGTTTTGGATCGAAACGTCGAAACATACCTAAATTGCACCTCAAGCTCAAGTGCTAAATAACCTCTAATACACCTATCCGAAGAAAACGCTCTTACGGTGTGTGTGGTGGGCGGCATGCCATGGGAATTTTTGACCCGCCAGGCCTGGTTGGTTATCCTTTTGGAAGGCTTACTAGCTCGTAAGATATGTCAACTTTATATTCCAGGGTTGTCAGATAACTAATAAGTTTCACTGTCAAGATCAGTAAGCTGATTCTGACATAAGGGTCCTCAGAAGGCCCTGGTGATTGATCTTGTTGGGAGCGGGGGTCAGGGTCTGTCAGAGCACACCATAATTTATTTTATTTTATTTTTCCTCTTGGTTCCTCAGCGGTGTCTTGATTGACCCGCAATCTGAGTTGTGCCTCAGGGTTCTAACTTCAATGGCAAGGGGCCTGCTCAACTTGGGAATTCATATTTGGTCGGCCATGTTCGATATGGCGTTCGACGCGCCAGGGTTACTCCGTAGTCAGTGCTCGCCCTCAGCGCTCAGTCACCTACCCTGACACTGTTCGGTGCTTGTGATTATTCTGGTTCATGCAGCAGCGCGAACTTGAATATTGCCCCATGATCAATTCAACATCTATTACCGTTTCCAAAACAAGGAAGTTGAACAACAAAGGCAAACAACTCAATCCTGGCTGGGGCCAATTTCTGTCCAACCAGAGTATAACTCTATATCATGATGTAGAATGCAGGGCCCGCTTGCCAACCATCGTCTCACGTCTGTAACGCTCCGTCTACTTACTCGTCAGCCGGTGCTAATCGCATGGCAGAAGGATACACCGTGATCACGTTCAAACGAACGGCAAACAAAGATTCGACTCCAAAATCTGTGTTAACACCCTGGATGGGCTACAAAGCGGAGGCATCGTGATGATTCAGAAAGTTACCTCTCAGGTACAATAATATTTTTATTTCCTCTTACCGACATATTCCTTCCAGAATACCGTTGCTGGACTTGACACAAAATCAGGTACCTGATGCATCGACTGCCCGTGCGCGCTTGATCTGCTATATTGAGACATCTTCATCAGAAGCTCAAGGGTCTGTGTTATCGTACTCTTAAAAGCTAAAGAAGGCACGCAGGACCTATCGAGCTGTCAGAACCCATGTTTGCGGTTCAGGCAATTGACGATGTGCCTCAGGTAACCCCTGTCACCGATAGTTGGCTAAACGCGTACACTGTGGATATCAAGTTGATCACACCTATGATCCGATCCTAAACTTGACACCTATCGGACCATTCCACCCTCAGTGACCCCAAGGCAGTAAAAACGAGCTCGCCGCGAATGCGATTTACGACGGACGGACATGTCAGTAAACATGTAGGACTCCTCCTAGTCTCGAGCTAGACGTTTCGGGACCACTTGGGGACCACCTTAGGTTTATGCAAGTCTGTTGAATGAACGGGGTCCAGGGGTAAATAAAGGCTGACTGACCGATTAGTGCTGATAAAGATTTTGGCTTGACAGCGCCTGGTGCTATTGATATGTCTTTAATACCAAGCTGAAGGGTCGTTTTGCGTTAAATGACGAAGGAAAGCGTCGCTTAGCGCATAAATTGCGATTCGCCACATGTCTGTCTTCTGTGCATTTAGGGGGCTGAAATGTTGCATCATTCCGGTGTGCTCACATGTTTTTCCAGGCTACAATGTTGATGAATCAGTGTTGATGATACGCGTTGTTTTCGTTCTGCCGTAGAAGCTATGTACCTGAGATTGTGATGAAACGACGCATCAAACAATGGTTCTGAGAGAAACTAACATGTCAATCGGACCTTGACTTGGTTTTCCTCGACCAATGGCAATAATTAGCACATTGTTCGGAAAGATACCCATTTTCCCCGGTCTTCAGAATAGCCTGTACCATGAGTCTCGTGTCGTCATCGCTTAGACTCGTGACCGCCTCATAGACGGGCTGGTCACCAGTCTAGTCATCGCTAGTTACCTCTATGGCAGACCTTTCGACTGGATGCTTGAAGACGAAGATTTCCAGCGCACGAGACAAGATGTCTCTGCACGGGCAGCCCGGCGAGTGCTCGACATCTGTCATTATGAGGTGGACACGTATCACTGTGGGATATTTAAAATACCTACAGATGTGAATCTTGCTTGTTTCGGAGTAAACAATTGCCCGAACGACTCTAGTTGATGCAGCCAGTCGCCTCTATTTGCAATGTGGCAAGCGCGGGTGCCGAAAGTTTTAACCTTATTATTATGGTATTATGCAGGTGGTTGGTTACAATGTACTAAACCGGAACTTCCTGTCATGGCTGTCATGTATGTACCTTATCAGATAAGAAGACAGGACAGGGGTGATGGGTTTTGTACATCTATGAGAAATAGTTACCTACAGAATATCAATGAGGCGACGATGGAGCAATTTAGAAAAGGGTCCAATCGACCCATGAGTTAACTTGGCGAAGCACTGATATGGCATGTGCGCAGACACGACCCACCCAGAGATCTGGCACCGGGAAGATTGAGGGTCAACGTCCGTCGAAGTAGAACTCCGAATGGCCTTTAAAGCCGCCCGATTAGGGCCGACGAGCGTCGGACCACTGCAGGTAATATCGATCGACCCTTAAAAGAAATGCGAGCAACAGGTTATCTGAAATTCTGCTGAGAGCGTTGACTCGGAGTCATGAGCATATGGACGCGTGTGAATCCGAGATTTCTTCTGTTTATCCAATAATAAGATTCTTTGATGCATACAGGTGGCTCTGATGAAATGGATGTAAGGTCCGCCGCGCGCGATAGCGGATGTATAATCAGCATCGTACCAACAAGATGCATTATGAAGGTCAGTTGCTGGGTACGTATGCAGAATAACGAGCAGATCGCCGTTTAAACGTTTATGAGTGTCAATGGATGCTGAAGGGTTTCGACGGGGTCGGCTGGTGCTTTATTAGGCAGGTGGAGGTCGAAGACGGTCGTGTGCAATTCAAAAGTTTCGCGGAGTGCCAATTGGTGCCAAGCAGAAATTGATTATATAACCTTACGACCAAACATGGGTTTGCACGATAACACCATCTGGCTCATTATCTGATAGTTCTTATTTTTTTCAGGCACTCCTGTATACATACAACTTATATGTGGACGTCGACTATAAAGGGGGCCATGCTTCGAGGGTGTCCTTGGTGTGAGTTTACTTGGGCTCTCTTTCTCATTCATGGCTGTCACCGACAAGTCTCTGCGATCCACCCGAAACCAGCTGTATCCGCAACAAGCATGGTATTGCATTGGGCTCTTCATTTTCATCATTGCCATCTTCCAATGGATCTCTTTCTTTCACTCCAAGTTCGCCGGGAAGCGTCCAACGTCTAACGCCTCCGACCCAGAACATGCTTCTGAGCACCGTCGTCACGCTTTTTCTTGGCGTCGCATTCCATTGGGACTCGTCAATGCGTACCGTGTCATTTCTTTCCGCTGGACACTCGAATTTGGAAAGTCATACACCCTCAACATGGCTGAGGTTTTTGTGACGGTGGCGTACATTGTTTTTCTTTTTGTATGGGCATTTATCAACAGTGAGTTCCCTGGCGATGTCACTCGCACATTCTGAGAGACCTTCTAGCAACCGACCTCGAGAGCCACGAATTGGACATCTCATACTGGTGCAACCGCGCAGGGATGCTGGCGTCGAGCCAGTTCCCGCTGATCACTGCACTTGGAACTAAAAACAACATAGTATCCTGTACGGCTTCTGTGCTTGCGTATTAACTTGCTTTGCTGACTGCCTGCAGTAATCACCGGTATCAGCTATGACAAGGTAAATCTATTCACGATATTCGCCATTGCTTTATTCTAACGTGATTTTTCTTCAAGCTCAACTACGTTCATCGCATGATGTCTAGAGTTGCCTTCGTCTTGCTCTGGGTTCACGTAGGCGGTGAGGTTGTCCGACATGCACCGTACGTGCAACATATATAAAGGATCCAATGCACTAACACGACACAGATTCCAACCATACTTTACGCAGCCGTGGCTCTTATGGGGCTTGGTTGCCATGGTCGCATCTACCATTCTATGTATCGTCTCCTTGCGCCCCGTCCGAGCCCAAGCATACGAGCTTTTCTTCTACGTTCATTTCGCTATGGTTTCGTGAGCCCATTCCAGTTCTATTGCTTTGTCACACTCACAAACTTTTTCAGCATTTTCCTCATCGGCGCTTACATCCACACACAAGATTCTGAGTGAGTTTCATCAAATACACAACTTACATGTTCCACACTGATAATCGCCAGCGTCGCCTTCTGGATCTACCCCTGTTTCGTAATCTGGGGATTGGACCGGCTCATTCGGACCCTTCGTTTAGTGGTGTTCAACCACTCATACTTCGGATTCAGGTCAGGGTCCACGATGGACGCGACCGCTGAACTCCTATCAGATGATTTTGTTCGGTTGCGTTTCCACCGCCCGTCTCATTTCCACTGGACGCCTGGGCAAACTGCCTATCTTATCATGCCGTCCGTCTCACGCTTGCCATTCGAGGCCCACCCTTTCACCATTGCAAGCTTCGATTCGACACTTTTTGATGTGCCTAAAGAACAGAAGCCAACAAGTGAAAAATATGCTGAGATCAGCCTTGCAGAAGGGAATCTTGGTTCTAGTGCCCCGTTCTGGAAAGAGCTCGTGTTTTTCATAAACGTGCGGGAGGGATTTACTGCCCGCTTGAAAGATGCTGCCTTGAAGGGTGACAAAGTAAAAGTCTTTGTCGATGGGCCATACGGGCCTTCTCCCGACCTGGGTTCATATGACACATCTGTGCTCATTGCTGGTTAGTCGCTGAACTTTCTACATGTCGAACGTTGCTCATGCATGTCTCGCTTTCAGGTGGATCCGGAGTCTCGTATACGCTACCGGTATTGTTGGATACAATAGAGTATGTCGACTGGATTACCGATTCTGTGTATTCAACCTGATTTCTTTTGTTTCAGGCGT